CTCAGCCAAAGCTGCTCCGAAACAACCAGAAACAAAGGCAGGCAGGCAGAACGGAGCACTGGATTGAACCGTGGGCGGCGGGGTGGGGGTGAACGGGCGCTTCGGAGGAGCTGCGCCAACAGGAAAAGCCACCCTGCCGGCTTCTTTGAAGCAGTTTCTTCCTGGGCTGGTGGAGGAGCGAGAGAGCGACTGAGAGAGGAACGAGGCAGACACCTGAGGGATGAGGCTGAGGGAGGGAGGGAGACACCTGAGGGATGAGGCTGAGGGAGGCAGGGCCGAGAGGCAGGGCTTCTCAGCTGTCCTGCAGGGACTTGTCCTGAGCCGCGGAGACAGCCGTGGGCCGCCGCCGCCCAGCGCTCAGTTTTGAAGGCGCTCCTCAGCCAGGCGCAGTTCCTGAATATGCAGCTGAAACCCTCCGTTTTAAATGTCCCAATAGAAGAGAATATCTGTCGCTCAGGGTTGCAATGAGGAGGCATTGGCGCTCCCTGAACTTGGTGGTTTGCTGGCAGACGTTTTATTACCCGACTAGGTAACAACATGTTACCTAGTCAGGTAATGAAACGTCTGCAAGCAAACCACCAAACTCGGACTCCTTCCCCTCCACCCCCCGGTCCTTGAAAAAGTGTTTCTGCGTGAAACTGGTCCCTGGTACAAAAAAGGTTGGGGACCACTGGACTAGATGACCCACAAGGTCCCTTCCAACTCTGATTATCTGTTTATCTGTTTATTTCAAATTCAGTGTGGTTGTGTTCAGAGGCCGAATGCCAAAAAAACACAAAAACCCATCACTTTCATTACCCCAGTCTACATGAGACTTGACTGTACATCCTTAGCGTGTGGGTACAAGTGGAGGCAGGGGCATCTCTCTTTCTCTCTGTGCTTCATCAATCAATATCATTTTTGCTGCTGAAGAGATTCGATTAGAGGAGATTGTTTCAGAGAAAACAAAGATGTAAATGAGATCAACAATAGTGACTTTAGAATGTAAAAAGGCCGATTGTTTTTAAAAAATTTAATATTTCAGACAGGATAGGCAATGTTTTTATCCAAGAGTTCCACATGCTCCAACAAAATACCTACCTCTGTGTCGAGGGCTCCTGGTCACTCTTTTCCGCCGCCTGACTCTTCTCTGCTGCTGCTGCTCCTGCTCTTTCACCAACTCCCTGAGCATCTTCTCCACTTGAGCTTTCCCTATAGTTTGCAAAATTACTCCAAGTTGCCTCCGGAAGTCTGGAAAGAGACCTTCCCCACTTGACCCATCTGTAGTTGCTGCTGCTTCGCCCTGTAAAGGAGCCAGCTGCCCTTGTTCAGGTTCCATTTCTAAGCCTATTAAGAGAAAATAAAAACAATATAATATTTCTACAGAAATCCTGCAGAAAAGGGAGACCAGAGTACAACAGAAAATATAAAAACAAACAAGCAGAAGGAAGTTGGGGGGGGGGGGGGAGAGTTGGGTGTATTACTTTGATCTAATCTGTATTTTTTTTCAGCTTCCAGAAAACAAGGATAAAAAGTTGACGTTGTAGAATATATCTGTATTAAGTAGAGCTGATTTGACATTAGCTGCACCAGCAAGGATGTTCAAAAAAGCAAGATTTATAAACTGCTGGAAAAGTAGTATCACAGATCAGAATTATCTTGGTTCCTGGAATCATGAAGTTCCATTTACCCAAACCTGTCAGTGATTGTTCTAAAACTCAAAATATGCTATTTTCTCAGTCTGGATAACATGTTGTTGAGCAAAGCTCTTCTTTTTGTTCTCAGTTTGATTACAGTACTTCAAATTGCTGAACTGCAGTTCCCATCAGTCATTAATGTTAACCCTAACCCTGTATTGATGGAATCCGTATATCAACAATCTGGAGCATTTTTAACAGGAATTTTACATGTAATATAAAATTAAGGCAAATATTTATTTCTATCGTGAACCTATTTTTATTAATAGCAATAGTACTTAGACTTGTGTACAGCTACATAGTGCTTTATAGCACTTTCTGAGTGGTTTACAAATGTCAGCATATTGCCCTCAACAATCTGGATCCTCATTTTACTGATTTTAGAAGGATGGAAAGCTAAGTCAATTTTGAGTTGGTCAGGATCGAGCTCCTGGCTGTGGGCAGTTAGTCTGTAATGCTACATTCTAACCACTATGCCACCATGGCTCTTAATGATTACTCCAGTTTATTTAACAATTTCCCTCTCTACCACATTAACATTTATAATGTTGCAATAACTTCTAGAAGGATTCCATGCAAGGCTTTTGGTGTTTTATATGGGCCTGCGGTCACAATCCTTACAATTTGGAGATGGAGAACTTTTTAGGATCCACTCAGCAAAAATCACCCATGGCTTTTCTTAAAGGTCTTACCAGGGGCCAAACCTTGGCGTCCTCGAGTCTCTGTAAAGGCAGTTATCCGGGGCCAGCTTATGGCAAGTTCTTCTGCTAAAAAAATAAAAAATCAAAAGAAAACACATTCACTGAGCTGGCTTAATATTGTGTTCTGAGAACATCTGAAGCACACTGGAGGAGGCTTATGTAGATTTTATCAGTAAGAATAATTAGCTTTTAATTGATATTTTCTTCCCTTCATTATTCATTCTCCCCATGTAACAAGCAGCTGTTGGGAAATTTGGAGAATATCTTCAAAGATAGAGGTAAACAGTCTGGTGTCTTCCATAAGCACTGGGGCCATTAGTTGCCAGCCCAATGGATATCCAAGAAGGCTGTTCTATTCCAAACACCCAAAGGCAACCTCAAAGCATCTATCCATCTTGAGCACCATATCCATAAAGAGTAACCCACAAGGAAATAGGTCTATGTTAACCCGACAAGATGCCACAGATAGGATTCTTTCATGGACATTCTTATGCAGAAGGTGATTCCTTACAAGCAGCACATTTTGAACTCTCCATTCAAGTGGTTTATTTTATTTTAGTAGCCTATTAGTGTGATCGGTCAAGAAGAACAATTCTTCTGTTTTAGTACAATCCTGCCTCAATCACACTGAGAAACTCTAGAATTTAAAGAATATGCTATTGCACTAAAAGTCTCAGTCACATGCATGAAATAAGAGGACTGGAAAATGGCTTTAATTTGGTACCACTACACATTTTTTTTACTTGCCTGTTGTCAAAATCTGTTAAATTGCTCTTACAAGACTCATTAATCAGTCTTAATCAGTGTTATGTGGATACACCAATAAATCAGTGTTCATTTCAAAAAAAGATTCATTTTAAAGTTATTCTCTGAAACCTTCCCGTCTTATTGGCTTCAATGTTACTTATAACTGAAATTATATTAATTAACTGAAATAACATTAATACTTTCCCAGCTTGTTATAAGTACACGCAGCTGAAGGTCAAGTTCTAGTCTAGCATTGAAATTTGAAGAAATGTAATCCCTTACCCAACGAGATCACTGTTTCATAGCTCTCCTGCATGTTGGTCCACATAAGAATTTCCTTTCTAAAGTTCGTGAAGACTTTTTCCTGTGTCTCTCAAGAGGTTGCAGAAAGCACTTAAATCAAATAAAAAGTAATTGAAGAATCTATTTGTCACAGAAATCATTGTCACTTCAGTGATCTTGGCAATCAGATGTACAATAGTAATTTGGATTACTATGTCAATCTAGAACTCTAGATCAAGAATTGATTTAAGAATGAGATGGGCATCATATAAATAGAGGATGGATGGATGAATGGACTGATAGAGACAGACAGGCAAACAGACAGACTTACATGGGAAGCATAGAAATCAAAAAGCTAAGAGAAAATACTGCTTGAGGGTTTTGCATAATACTGAAGATTATATTCTCCCAGAAGGCAGTTCTATTCCCTTTTTAAATTGAAAGGATGAACTATGTACATGTATGGATGTTTGTATGGGAAAGAGAGAACAGATGCACACCCATGCTCCAGTTATGCAGGCCCACATATCACATATTTACTGAAGCTGTTTTCACATGTTGCACAAATCATGCAACAATCATATTAGGCTTAAAACAGCCATTTTGAATCTAGTGAACTTCATCTATACTGGAATATACAAACCCAAATTCTTAGTCAGTGGATTAATTGGAGTTGTGATCTGAATACATTTTGAGGACAGTAACTTGAGGAAGGTTTTTTCCTGTCCTCTGAGAACTGTGAATCTCTATCTTAGGAGAGAGAAAAAAGGAGCAATATGATACAGTTGAATATAAACCATAGGAAATAAGTTGACTGCCCTAAACATGACTAGACATATATACATAATACATAATTACATAATATACATAATTTTAGAATATATGCTTTCAAAAATACATTTAATGCAAATTATATTAATGCAGACATATTTACAAATTATGATATCACATAAGTATGGCTATCCCAAAGCTGGGACTGAGTGCAGCTTCTCTTTAGAAGTAAAGTATATAGAATGGTAAATTTGGGTTTCTTTCTTTAATACAAAACAGTCTTTAAATCCTCTGTACTAAAATATGTTCTTATGTTTCATGATTTTTGTATCATTTATTACATAAAATGGCTACATTTTAATTTTCTGTCAGAGAAATACAATGCTATAGGCATTTATGAAAAATAAAGAGATTGCATGCTGTGCAAATTCCAGTGGAACAACAGAATTAGTCTGTTGTAGTCAAGGCAATTATCTAGCATAAATTTGGGATAATACATGTATGCTCATGAATAGGCATATCACAGGTGGCACCAAGAACTCTGAAGTTATATATTTAAAATATTTGTATAGCTGTCCATCTTTACTTAAGATAATCCTGGGTGGATCACAATGTTTTGGCACAAGATCTAAATTATGTGGAAGTGGGAGTGGGTACAAAAACTGTGAAGGTGGGTTCAAGGGGCGGAAAAGATTACAAAAGGCAATTGATGCTGGGCCCTCCTCCTTATCCCCTTCCTCCATCAAAGTAACCCATCCTCACGTGGTACTAACAGTACTATTGTCCCTTCCTCTGGGCATCCCACTCCTCAGCCCAAGATTTGCATGCAGGTCTGAAAGTCCAGGCAAGAAAACGGGATATCAATCCCAGACCGAAGTCCATCTATATCCCGCACAGCCTCCATTGTTTCCTCCATGTGCATCGGACCTTACGCTGGGAAGGGGAGGCAGTCCGGGTAGGGGCTGAAGAGCCCGGATTCGTGTACGCTTCTCTCTCACCCTTACATTGTTTCTCTCTCACCTCTTACACTGTTTACCTGCAGTTAGGCACAGACTACAGCGCCTGGCGCCTGCACGGGAATGGTGATGAACGATTAGAAAGCCCCCCTCTCTCCCTTGCAGGGAGCTAGGATAAAAGAGAGGGGGTTTAGGCAAGCCAGCTGCAAGATCCAGGAAGCTCAATTCCACATCCTGGCTGAAGAAAAGAAGGACAGGGGGAAAAAGAGAGAGAGAAGTCCTTCCCTTCCCGCGGTCGACCTCAAAGCAGGGCCCTCTTGTGGTTGATAGATCTCTTTCTTCTCTAAGCCTCGCTCCCTTTCTGTGCTTCTGAAAACTAAAAAGGCTAAAGAGAAGAATTTACGGTATCCCTGATGTTATAGATTACAAATATCAAAACTCGCAGCCAACCGGTAAGGAATGCTGGGAGCGGTAGTTTTACAATCTGTGCAGAGGTATAGATTTTTTTCCCCTTCTGGAGTATTTACCTCGCTTTTTTCCAGGTAGTGTAATGGGGGAAAAAAGGCTAATGAGATTAGAAACAATGTAGAAATCTCTTATCTGTGTATATTTGTAAAGTGAATTTTAGAAATCTAACATGTATGCAACTTATACAGGGATACCTTGTTTTTTGAACTTTGCTTTATTGTACTTTGAAGATATAATATTGCATTACAAGACCCTTCATCAACAAAAAAGTAGCAATAATTCTATTCTATTCTATTCTCTGAAGATGATGTTTACCTTTTTTTAGCAATAAAATGCTTTCAATTGAGGGGTCTACATTTTTTAGACATAAAGCCATTGTAAACTTAATAGACTACAGTAGAGTGTAAACATATCTTTTATATGCACTGAGAAAACCAATGATTTGTATGTCTCACTTAACTTACAATATTCATTTAGTGACTGTTCAGAGTTAGAGCGGCACTGAAAAAAGTGGCTTATTACAATTTTCATGCTTATGACCACTGCAGCATCCCCATGGTCGCATGATCAACATTCAGATGCTTGGCAACTGACTCATATTTATGACAGTTGCAGTGCGCCACGTGATCTACTTTTGTAATCTTCTGAGAAGCAAAGTCAATAGGGAAGCCAGGTTTACTTAATAACCATGTCACTAACTTAACCACTGCAATGATTCATGAAACAACTCTGACAAGAAAGGACATAAATTGTGGCAAAATTTACAAAACAACTGTCTCACTTAACATAAATTGTGGTCATTAGTAGAAGTACAGTACCTGTATATGCTTCATCAGGGTGGTCTGGAATTAAACCTGCAATATTTTTGAGGTATGCCTTGTAGGTTGCTTCTCAAGATAAATTTGATACTGGCAAAACTGAACTGGGGATAGAACTAAGACTCAACGCAAATTATTGAGATGACCGCAAAGGAATTGAAGTAATTATACCTGTATTTAATAATGTATTAGTTGTAAATGAAATTATATTTGATACACTGTTTTTCCACCCTCATGCAATATATTCTGGAATGTGACTATTGCAATATTGTGTGTGTGCAGCCCTTGGCCCAGAAAATCTACCCCTTCCTGGTTTCTATATCATAATAATTAAATCTATTCAATATTACACATAGTCCTCAACTTACTACCACAATGGAGCTCAAAATTTCTGTTGCTCAGTGCGACAGTTTTTAAGTGAATTTTGCCTCATTTTATGACATTTCTTGTTACAATTGTTAAGCGAATCACTGCAGTAATTAAGTTAGTAAAATGGTTATTAAGTGAATGTGGCTTCCCCATTGACTTGGCTAATCAGAAGGTTACAAATTTATTTATTTATTTATTGTATTTGTCAAGCGATCGTAAGATAACAGGTATAAGTATAAACATAGTTATGAATACATGAAATGGATACATATATGAAAAATAAAAAGAAACATTAGGACAGGGATTGTAGGCATGTTGGTGCACTTATGCACACCCCCTACAGACCTCTTAGGAAAGGGATGAGGTCAATAGTAGACAGGTTAAAGTTTCTGGGGTTTGGGGAAGAAACCACAGAGTCAGGCAGAGTATTCCAGACATTGACCATTCTGTTAATGAAGTCTTATTTCCTGCAATCAAGTTTGGTGCAGTTTACCTTGAGTTTGTATCTATTGTGTGCTCTTGTATTGTTATGGTTGAAGCTGAAGTATTCATTGACAGATAGGACATTGCAATATATAATTTTATGTACTATACTTAGATCAGACCGAAGACGGCATAATTCTAGGTTTTCTAGGTTTAGAATTTCAAGTCTGGTGGCATAAGGTATTCTGCAACAAGTAGAGGACCCGGGACACTGCAACCATCATAAATATGAGCCAGTTGCCAAGTATCTGAATTTTGTTCACATGACCATGAGGATGTTGCAACAGTTTTATGAAAAATGGTCATAAATCATTTTTTTCAGTACTATTGTAACTTTGAATGGCCACTAAATGAACTGTTGTAAATCGAGAACTACCTGTACTAAGACAAATTTAAAAATAACATTTCAGATTAACAAAATGTATGAAGTGGGAGGATGACATGTGCATCGTCACACCAATGATTGTACTTGCAGCATCAGAAACCATAGGACATGTATTTTTTGTGTGATGATGTAATTAAGCATCATTGTTGGCCATGAGCCCAACAAATAACTTCAATTTAGTAGAAACAGTATGAAATTATTGTTTCTAGCACCACTGAATAATTATACGTGGAAATACTCCCTTTGCCTCAAATTCATTAAATTATTTAGTTTCAATGGCTGTAGAATTTCATGGAATCTTTCATGGCTCAGTGCCAAGAATATTAGGAACAAAAAATGAAAATACTGAATAATTAGCAATCATATATACTATTTGCTATAAAGATGTTACATCTAATTATCTTTCCTTATATTTCCTTAATTGTGGTTCAATAAAACCATCTGATTAAATCAATTTTAAGCTGAGCATTGAACACATAGACAACACTTTATACAACAATCCTCCCTTATTATAAGAGAATTTGTGAAAAAATATAGGTTAGGAAGATAATGCATATGGATTGTAATTCCATAGTATACAAAAGCTCATAGTATACAAAAATTCTTTTACCTGTCATATTGGCACCTGGAGAGTGAGTGACTACATGTGCATTGCAACATCATTGATTTGTAACATCATTGTGTTTTATTCTAGACATCTATGTTTGGAATAAGAATGCATGCATACGTACAAATAATCTATTTTAACAGCATCACTATTGCCACCTATTGGCTAATCTATTGGGACAATGGGGTCTTTAGTACTCTCAGAGTTTGTTTATTTTCTTGCAGATCTTTCATTACTGAATTTGTACCTATTTGGTAATGAAATGTCTGCAAGAAAACAACCAACATCATTAATAGTACAAGGGAGTGAGTTTGCTCTCTATTTATGTAAAAGTAGTTTTCCCTATCAATGTTGGTGGAAGTGTTCCAAGTAGTTCCAAGTGCATTGATGTTGTTGCCTAGTTGCAATAAAAAAACCAAGGTCAATAAACACCACGAACTTACCATTCAATCATGAGCTACAAATAATTTTTCCTATTGGATATACTGGAAGACAAACACTATTACCTTTACTATATAAAGCTACACACTTTTTCTGTAAAGTGGAAGAGTAATAATACTGAAAGCAAAACTGCACTTTCACCTTTTTCACACTCCAATCCACTCCAATCCCAGTGGTGGGATTCAAATTTTTTTACTACCGGTTCTGTGGGCGTACTTAGTGGGCATGGCTTGGTGGGCATGGCAGGGGAAGGTTACTGCAAAATCTCCATTCCCTCCCCACCCCACTAACCTGCTTTCCAGCTCCGTTCCCTGTGCAGGGCATCGATCAGCTGGGACTCAGGAGGCAGAGAACAGATGGGGGCGGGGCCAGTCAGAGGTCGTATTTGCCGGTTCTCCGAACTACTCAAAATTTCTACTACCGGGTCTCCAGAACTGGTCAGAACCTGCTGAATACCACCTCTG